ACAGATACGGCCAGATACGGCCAGAAACCGGACAGATTCGGGCAGATGCGGCCAGATACCGGACAGATACGGACAGATACCGGACAGATTCGGAAAGATACGGCCAGATACCGGACAGATACGGCCAGATACCGGACAGATACCGTACAGATTCGGACAGATACGGACAGATACGGCCAGATACCGGACAGATTCGGACAGATACCGGACAGATGCCGGACAGATACGGCCAGATACCGGCCGCAGCGGTCACCGCCAGCGCACAGACCCGCACTGTGCCTGTGGCGGCCGGAGGAGAGTCACCAGTTCAGTCCCACGCACAAGGGGGAAAAGCTCAAATTATTGAGCGCTCAAAATATTGAGCGTGTGACGTCAGAGGCTCCCATAGGCGTAATGCTGAGGGCTCAAAAAATTGAGCCGTTTCAGGAACACGTTTTGCAAAAGCAACTCGCAACACCTAGGGAGAAATGGCAACACCCTAGGAGAATCACTAATGATGCAAAACAGATTAGGCTTTCATATTTTTCACTGCTCAAGCTTCAATGATTGGGGGAACACCAATTTATAGGTCGAAATCTTACGGCATACCAGGATGACTTAAAAACAGGCCAATATTTATGTCGAAATAAAAGTTATTTTTTGTCCATTCACGTTTTTTACTAGGGTTCTGTTGGAAAGAGCATTTTTCATACTACCCAAAATGATTGCGATTCAATTTCACATTACCCATATCGGAGAATATTTTTCATTTGGCGGCGCCGTTTGTTTATTTCGTCGCGACGTCTCCGGTCGCGTGGTTGTCGTCGTCCTTGTGTTGAGGGTAAGTTTTTATCGTTTTAGTTGTACTTAGATGTTTAAAGGTACACTGAAAAGTTTGAATATGCTGTGATTTTAAATTTGGAAACACGTAAACGTCAATCAATTCACGTTTTCCTCGATTTGCGTGCAGATAAGTAACTGTCGACGAAAGTGGCGCCATCCGATATGATGTTTTGAAGGAAGGAGACACAACATATTTACGTGAAAATTTTTGTTTTTTAGTGGTCTAAGTGCTTCAAAGAGGCTGTGAATGTTTTCTTCACACAATTTTTCATTAGTTATGATGAGGTAAAAGGTAGTTTCAGTCTTAACTTTCATATAATTGACATTAAAACATATGATAGTCCACTGCTATCAGTGATTGAGTACCTGGATATTTGGCATTTCTTATTAATTTGAATGTATTCTCTATCCATATGTCCTGATAGTAAGTGACAATACTCTGCCAATATGTTTCCATAGTTTTCACATTCATTTTCCAGTCCTTTACATAACATCACAATTTATAATCAACAAAACTCACTCCTTCATTACTTCACAACACTGACAGCATGACAGACTGACAGTCAACTATTGTGTGGGTGAATGCTGAAACAGGATAGCCACTTTGCTGACTGGCTCGCTCATATGAAATAAGATAAAAATGATCCTTTATATCATTTCCATCTGGAGGATCGGAGTCAACGGAAAAGGAAGGCCACTTTCAAGCCTCAAGGTCTAGGCCGCCAGACGCCAGTCGGCAGTCACCACCAAATTTATAATCGATTAATTCATTATTATACTTTGAGACCCTTAGGTCACTGGATCAGCATCACATTTTCAGTTTCAATATAGTAAAGGTTTTTATTTGTATGATGTGAAATATTTTCCTGAATCAGAATTTAATTATCCCTAGGTACCTGGTAGAGGTTTTGGATTTAATGCTCATTGTTGGTGTGCAGTCAGGATTTTTTGACAGGTCCAGATAGGGAATCCTGAGCAATTTTATAGTAAAGTGGTCTCCTTATAATCACCACACATTTTATCAAAAGCATTTGCAGAATTCATTCAATGAAGAATTTTATCAATGTTGCACCCATTTCTTAGACGACCTAGGCTGCATCTCTTTTTTAGTTCCTGTTGTATGACATATTTTCCGTTTTGTTCCACTGCATAAAGAAAAAAAATCGTTTGAGATCACCAAACAGCTTTTCTTTTTCTGGCAGGTCTGCACAACCAAGCGGTCGCTGGCGAGGACGTCGGCCGTCTCTGTGGGTAAGGTCATCTGCTCAGCCTTTGTGGAGATCAGCAAGACGTCACTAAGATGAAGACTTCGCTGGAGCAGAAGCCGCTAACCCGTGTCCGATCGGGCAGGTCATGCTCGACGGCACGAGCCACAACTCGAACGACTCGGTGACATCAACAACATGGTGGAGCAGGTGAATGAGTTTGGCGACGTGTTGTGCGACTGCAAGAAGGGTTGTCTGCGTGTTCTGGCCGGCGGAGCGGCGACGCTGCGCAGTCTGTGCTGGCGGTGAGCAGCTGGCCGTGGTGACCGCGCGCGCCCACATGCGCCGACAACCTGTGCGGCTTCGACGGCTCGGGACAGCCCGATGCCGCCCACTATGCGACGCCGACCGCGCACTGTCCGCACGGCCACATGGAGGTGTGCCCGCGCCTTTTGCCCGCACGCCGCTACCTCGCAGCTGGTCTACAACCACGCCGTCGCCGCCTGTAGCCCGATAGCAAAACGGCTGTCTGATAATGCCGCGTGTTCTTTGTGATAATGCTACTGTGATCGTTGCTACTGCTGGTCCGAGACTCGATGTTTCCATTCGTCTTTTACATGTTAAGGATTTGATAATGATAAGCTTAGTCCGAGCTTAGGTCGCTTATATCATTTGTTATATGGCATATTTTGGATCAAAGCAGTACGACACTGCCTCCTGCTTTTGTGATGTATGCTGGCAAGACGCAGGTTCCGGTCGCAGGTCACCCGGACCCGGTTCCAATGTGGTCGGGCTGGCATGCGATAATGTGAATTGTGATGTTGTTTTGCTCGTCTCTGTGTTCCACACTTGATGATGTTTGTGAATCTAACCCACATTGTATAGTATTTTTGTTTGTTTGCGGCCGATGGCCTTGTAAGTTGTAACCGTGGCAATACAGTTTTTCCTGCTATAATTCTCCAATATTCAAGGGTGGGTGGATATCTCTGTATTCACGTATTCCCTTCTCCCAGTACAGTCAGAGAATATCAATTACAGTATTCATACGGATTATTCAAGCCTTGTATAATTATTTGAGGTGTGCCGAATCCGAAAGACCGATAAAACTACTAGCGGAAAATGTGACATGATGCCATGGGTTTGTGAAAAGTTTAGGTACCACGTAGCATTCAACTTCCTGCATTTCTGTTTCAACTCATTTTAACGTATTTCAACGAACATAACATCAAAAATGGCAGCCAGTACCGGCTTCACCTGTCACGGAGAACGCTCAAAAAATTGAATGTAGATGCTGGCCGGCACTCAATTTTTTGAGCGCCAGCTGACTGTCGTCTGTCGTGGCGCTCAATTTATTGAGTATCGCGGTCCCGAACGACAAGTGGCGCTCAAAAAGTTGAGCGTCTTTAGGGCATTTTCTTTCCAAAAACACCGATATAAATTATCACGGCGAGTGTTCGAGAAGAAACCTTGTTGCTCTCTCTTGCCATTGATACCTTATTTGGATACGATATTTGCCGTAGTGTGACGCTAAAGGCATTGTAAAATACCATCGTTTCGCCTATTCCTTCATAATGGGGCCCGCTCAATTTTTTGAGCGCTCAATTTTTTGAGCTTTTCCCCCTTGTGCGTGGGACTGAGTTCAGTTGAGGCCGACTCCGCGGCCGCTATCAGGTCGAGTCGAACCCGCAGCAATGGACCAGACAGCTGCCATGATCCCGCAACTGGACCGTGCGACACATCCCGTGGTGGCATTCAATGGAGGGAATGATACGGGACATATCCCGTAATGGGACTGGGACCTGGGGCACATCCCGAGGTGAAATTCAATGGAAGGAAACAGCCACATCTGAAGCGATTGCCCTAGCAATACCGGTTACCAAAGCGATGCGATGAATCTAGTGCTAATCTGAGGGCAGATTTAGTTCGGCTCCACTAGACTAGACTACTAGTTACGTTATGAGGTTATCGGTGGAGCCAACAAATAACTAAATGCACTTACTTTTACTGACGTTTCGGTTTCAAACAACCTTCGTCAGAATAGAATTACAAGTTACGTCTCATATTTCAAAAACGCACATATTTCAAACACACTGAGAACATAGCAGAGAACATATCTGCTATGTTCTCAGTGTGTTTGAAATATGTGCATTTTTGAAATATGAGACGTAACTTGTAATTCTATTCTGACGAAGGTTGTTTGAAACCGAAACGTCAGTAAAAGTAAGTGCGTTTAGTTATTTGTTGGCTCCACCGATAACCTCATAACACAAATATGTCCCTAAATAATCAACTACTAGTTACGTTTATGCATCACTCCTCTAGGCCAACAGTTGACTAGCTCTGTTCCATTCGAGTCAGTTGTAATCTGGTTCGCCGGTCCTGGCAGGGTCAGATGCGGTCCCGGCTGCAAAAATAATTTACCGAAAAATGCAAAGGTAAACGTGGATCCGAAAAGCGGGGAATTTGCAACCGTTTTGACGGCATGCCTCATTAGCTGCGATCTCATTCGTGGTATTGTTTTTTTTAGTATTGATCTCGCTAGCGTCCTCGCTGATGTAAACAGAGGCAGTTCAGCTGCTGACCGGCCTCAGAGACTGCGGACGAGAGCGGCGCTGGCCGCCAGGTCGGAGCCGCTGGTGCCGCCGTGTGTGCCGCCCCCGCCCCCGCCGCTGGGAGCTCGTCGCTGCTGGGAGCTCGCCCCCGCTGCTGGGAGCTCGCCGCTGCTGGGAGCTCACCGCTGGGAGCTCACTGCTGCTGGGAGCTCACTGCTGCTGGGAGCTCGCCGCTGCTGGGAGCTCACCGCTGCTGGGAGCTCGCCGCTGCTGGGAGCTCGCCACTGCTGGGAGCTCACCGCTGGGAGCTCACTGCTGCTGGGAGCTCGCCCCCGCTGCTGGGAGCTCGCCGCTGCTGGGAGCTCACCGCTGCTGGGAGCTCGCCGCTGCTGGGAGCTCGCCGCCCGCGCTCGGCGCTCACCTGCTGTTTGTTGAGGTCGACCGTGGCCAGGTAGTCGTGTCTGCCGGCCGGCGCGATGCACGGCACGTAGATGAGCTCCTCGCGCGGCCCCTTGGTCATGGCGTCGCGCGGGCTGGCGTAGCCGGGCCCCGTCCTGGCGCCGAACCGAAACATGCTGCCGTCTGTGTGCCGACCGGACGGACCGTGTGCTGCTGCTGGCCGACCCCTCCGTCCACAGCCGCGGGCGTCCACGGACTGGCTGCACCACCCGCCCGACCGCCCGTCCGGGGCTGCACACCGCGCCAAGGACGTCAGAGGTCAGCGGCGGGCCCGGCCCAGACATACACAGTACACACTACACGCCGCCGCTGTGCACATGCACCGGGCCATGGGGTGCTGGCCGCCGACGCACAGTAGGCCATCCAGGCGTTCTACATAGTCTAGCGCTTCAGGGACCCAGGATACCAAAGTGAAAAATATAGCCGAATGATGGTTTATTGTGTAGTCAGATATCCTGGCAGGTGAAAAGCAATACTATTTTTGACTTATGCAAGGCACTTCCAAACCATACCCATCTGAACGCCACCCAAGCTCGATAAGCTGAAATAGGTATCTTTCCTTGGCCGTCAGGGCATATTTTAACATACTGACTGCGTCCCATTTTGGGACGCAGCCCCCTGCCTTTGGGACGTAGCCCTCGCGAAATTTGGACCACTGCGTCCCACATTGAAATGCCACGGTTTCAGCCGAAAACCGCGAGCAAGTAACATGCCTCGGTCTTTAAATGCGTAACAGATGCTGCCTTTCCGATTGCTTTCTGGTTAACAGTAAATCAGGGCACGCCACAAAACAATTTTACTATGTGCCGTAGCACATACATGCCCTCTCCAGTCCTTTTTGCCCTGCCCTATTCTAAGGTCGTTCACTTTGTTATATCCTTCCCTAACTACATATACCCCTAGGGTATGTGCCCTGCCCAGTGTCCTGTCCGTAGGTCTTGTACCTTGTCCTGCCCTTCCTTCATGCCCTGCACCCTGCTCTGCATTCAGGCCCTGTGCCCCGCCCTGCCCTGCCCTCAAACCCGATACCTTATATGATACCCGATACCCGATACCAGCGCCTTGCCTTGCCTTTGGACCCTGCATCCTACCCAGTCCTGAAGCGCCTAATGTGTCTTATCTTAGCCTCATGGCCAATGCCTGCCCTGTCCTTAGGGCTCAGACTCTGTGTCCTGCCCTTCCCTGAGGCTCTGTTTAGAGATGTCAAGGTCGAGACCATCGGGCCCGGCAGGGCTTTTCCATGGCCTGAACGCGATGCTGCCGGGCTCATGCCGGGCTTGCAGAATGAACAGCGTAATGCTGAAAGGATATACCGCCGGGCTTGATGCCGGGCTCAAGTATACTTGCACTCAGCACTCATAATTATATGAGTGCTGGGCTTCATGCTGAGCCCAACCAAACTTGGTGCGGTGCCGGTCCGGTGCTAGTCCCGGATTTCGGGGAAATTTTGACACCTCTAGTCCTGTTCCTTGCCCTGCCCTCAGATCCAGAAGGTACTTATATTGATAAAAAATAAAAGCATAAGACTTTAGCTAAAACTGGAGAAGAGTAAGACTATCCCATCGCCACACCGATTGTGGATTGCTCTTGATCGTCAATACATACATACATACATACATACATACATCCCTGAGCCTGGGCGGAACCGACAGAGGCGAGGCGGGTAATCACAAGCAATATAAGTGGCAGCTTTAATCCCCTCCGCTCCCCTCCCCTGTGGCACCGCCCGCCGCCCATTCACAGTCGCATTCACATTCGGTGCGTCCTTTGCGGAAAAATAATGCGTCACGACTGGGCGAATTTCGGGACTGGCCAAAAGCAATCACAGCCCGCTCACAATATCCCGCTTGCAGTGCCCCTCCACCAGCACAGTACAGTCCAGGGGCGCGGGAACTACTTTCCGACTGGGGGTGCACACCATAATAGAGGTCAACCTAGGGTACCCCCAAATCTAGTTTTCTCACCGGTTTTAGGCCACTTATTTTTCACCCCTCGGCTTTTTCAACAAAAAAAGAAAACATTTGCAAAAAAAAAGTGTGGTATTCCGTCTCAAAGCTGTGGGGGCACCGCCCCCACGGCCCCAGAGTTGGGGAGGCAAGCTGCCCCCACTGCCCCCCCCCCCCGGCTCCCGCGCCTATGCTGAGTACACAATGACCACGGTATCTGTAGACTGTACATTATCTCACTTGCATTATATAATATTTCGCTTGCGATGTGCCCTTTCCGATCGAAGCATGTGCCCTACGCCACCTTTGGGACGCAGTAAAAAATCCTTAAAATATGCCCTGTATGGCCGTGGCCCGACCCTTGTTGTTCTGTGCTCTGTTACTCATGAATATCGCCCAGAACGCGTTTGAATGTAATTGAAGTTTGTACTTTACACCTTCTCAAGCATCATGCGTGCCAAATAAGTTTGTTTTGAACTTGCGTATGCATTTGTATATCATTTGCATTATATCAATCCTTTCAAACGCATCGCTCCGATTCTGTATAGAATACTTTGACAATGCGCAACTTTTGCCATCCGCACGATTCGGCATTAAAAATCCCATTAACGTATAGCATAGCTCTTGTTCTCAATGTCCTGTAGAAATTAGCTCCCACTTTTTGCGACTCTTTGAGTTATTGAAGTTTTTGTAACACATAACTGGTCGATAAAGGGGGTACGTCAACTGGTGAGTAGTTTCAGGTGAAGCGCAATGAAATGTTCTACAAAAATGAGAGGTAACAAGCTCAGTTATTTCGAGTCTAACTCGAGATATATGTAAGCCATGACGTGCTAGAATAGCGAAATCGCCTACTGTGCGATGGCCGTGAACCGGCCGGTGTCCGGCGCCGGCCGCTGAGCCACGCAGTACCTGAATCGCCCGAGCCGAGTGACTTGCAAAGTTGCAGCCGAGAAGAGGGCCTCTGCCTGGTAACGACAAACGGCGGACAGCGGCCGCGCTGGACACCAGCGGCTTGTTTGTTTGTTTTGTTGGGTTAGGCCCTTTCGGTCCAATGAGACCATTGCAGAGCCGAGAGGATGATGGGAATTACGGGGAGACATTGGTCTGGGCAGGCACCCTAGTGAGTCTAAGGGGGCGGAACTCGTCCAATTGGACAGGCCTTCTAGCCTTCCAAGCTCACTGAACTCACTGAACCCGGCTACGGATGTGCTCCCTTCTTAGGAACCGCGGGTTAACCCTCGCCGGCACATGGGGTTGATGCAACCCCTCCCAAGGTTTTTCGCAAATAACTCGCGTAAAAAGCGGCCGATTGCAACAAAACTCTAAGTACCCTCGCATTGATCAATTTCACACCTACCCTAAAACTTTCATGACCCTGACCTAAATGACCTTTGACCTGTGACCTAATTTTCGAGACCATGTTTGGCCGGAATCGCGATTCGGCGTATGTCGGCTCGCATTAGCTCGCGTTTGCAGTCTTTTCGTGGTTCCAAGCGTTCAAACATGTGATTTGATGTTACTCCAATGCATTAGGGTGTATGTCAAGGTCACCAGAAGGCCAGGTCAGGTCATTGACCTTTGATGACCTCGGCTCACTTTTTTAGGTTTACATGTTTCTAGGCTAGTTTTTTTTTTAGCTGAATTCGAATTTAGCAACCATTTGAACATTTACGAAGTAGTTTTGGTGCCTTCGTAACACGTTACGAAGCTGTCAGAGGCGGTTGACACGTATTACGAATACCCGTCACGACCCCTACCGGTTAACCTGACCTGACCTGACCCGACCTGGTCTAAATGCATAAAGACATTATCTGTGATCATCGCTAACATGATATTCATGATATTCAGCACCCCGAAAAAAACCATGGTAGCCACGCTTTACGACGTTCTAACAGGTCCCGATTTTCCCGACTATTGGGTCATTGACCTGACCTGGAAGGTCAACTGATGACCTAAGACCATAAAATTAGGTATCTGAAATCCTTTTCCTCCACGTCGCAACCCCCACTCCGGGCTGAACAGGCACCTTTAGGTATCTTATCCGGGCTGCTCCCTTGGAGCGGCACCGCTGCACCCGAGGGAGCGCACGCCGTAGCCGGGTGCAGAGAGTGCTTGGGGGGCTAGTCGGCCTGTCCATTCGGACGGGCTCAGCCCCGGCGACTCTCCAGGGTGTCTGCCCAGACCAATGTCTCCCCCTAATTCTTATCATCCTTCCGGCTCTGAAATGGTCTTGTCAGGCCGAAAGGGCCCAACCCAACAAAGCAAACAAACAAACCGTGTCTCTGTTCCGAAGCTGCCTCTCAGTGTATGTTTTCCCAAAGATATACCGGTAGCTGTGTTGCTGAGGCTGACAGCTTACCCCGGGGCCCGGCGGCTCAGCTACTGGACGTGCTGACCATCTCTGTCCACACATAGATGGGCCGGGTCAATATACCCTGGGCCGGGTGGCGCGGATGGGGCAGGTGGCGCGGATGGGACATGTGGCGCGGATGGGGAGGGTGGCGCGGATGGGGCAGGTGGCGCGGATGGGACATGTGGCGCGGATGGGGAGGGTGGCGCGGATGGGGAGGGTGGCGCGGATGGGGAGGGTGGCGCGGATGGGACATGTGGCGCGGATGGGGAGGGTGGCGCGGATGGGACGGGTGGCGCGGATGGGGAGGGTGGCGCGGATGGGGCGGGTGGCGCGGATGGGACGGGTGGCGCGGATGGGGAGGGTGGCACGGCGCCCAGCTGAGTGGCCACTCACAGCTGCGGGGAGCGGCTGGCCGCACTGTTGACACAAGTGGGCCAACGCTGAGCGCCGATCGCACCTCTCTCTCTCTCTCTCTCTCTCTCTGCCATCCTCAGGACAGACAAATCTGCTTCCTCCACGCCTCTTCCCCTGTTCCGGGCTGGACGGGCAGCGGGCGGCTCCCATTGGAGCGCACAGCAGCTCCCAAGGGAGTACACCCGTAACCGGGTGCAGTGAGTACCGGGGGCTGGTCTGCCTGTCCTTTGGACGGGCTCAGCCCTGGTGACTCTCTACAGGGTGCCCGCCCAGACCAATGTCTCCTCCTATGTAATTCCTATCATCCTTCCGGCCCTGAAATGGTCTCGTCAGACCGAAAGTGCCTGACCCAATTCAAAACAAAACAAAACAGAGCGCTGATCAGACAGCGTCTAGCCGGAGCACGGCGGGTGGTCCACCGTTGGCGCGGTGGGTCCACTATTACGTAGTGCTGGGTAAACTATGGCGACGAGCGCACCGCGCCTGATTCGTCGGCGCGCGCCGGGTTTGTCAGCGCGCTGCGTTTGTCAGCGGGCGGCTTATGTGGGCCGGCGGCGCAGCGCGGCGGTTTTTGTGTCC